TTTTACGTTTACCTTAATTTTATACTTTATGCTGTGTATATATTATATAAGCTTACGACAGAGAGGATTGGACACTTAAAAAATTCGAACCTTAGTAGTCTTTTTTTTCTCATTAGCCTTACGAAGAAGAACGTTATCGAACGTACGAAGCGAAGCGATCGCATTAAACGCTACGGCGTTTTTTTTAAGCCAAATTCATTGAAATTTCCTTCTTCCTCGTTCCTTTTGTACTTATAAACTGTAGACCGTGTAAACGCACACAAGTTAAAAATGTGTCTTTGAATTTAAAGAGGAAGATGCGTAAACGTTTAAAATCACGGTTAAAAATATACATTTATATTTTTTATCAGTCCATCAGCCAGTAAAACTGTCGCGTCGCTTTAAAAAAATGTTTTTACAAAAAAATTAATTTGCTATTCCAAATATACGTATGCACGCGTGTACTTATGCACTCGTCCCTTTGCACCTTCACTTATGAAAATTTGTTCGGAGGAAAAGTATCGCTTCGCTTTGTTGTAGCATCTCAGAAGAAATAAAAAAAAAAAAATTATATTTTGCACGTTGCTTTTAATATTTTCTTGTTGATAGTGGTAAGCAACTGTGCCCGCGCACTCGACCCTTGATCATGTCGCGCGTGTTTTTGTTACTCGCGAATTTCTATCAACCGATTTAGTCGAAAAAACACGTATATATTATATACATGCATTTATAATTATACGTCTGCACGATAAGTTTGTTTTCCTTTGTGTTGATTAAAGGTTGATAAAATTTGACTCTCATTGAAGGAACAAGAAAGAAAAAAATCTATTTTTTTTTTTTTTTTTTTTTTAATGAAATCAATAAAAATTCTCAATTGTTTGAGACAAAAATTAAAATTAATTTATTTTAATCATCAAGTAGAACAAGTTTTTAACATGTATAATTATTTTTCAGCTGTGAAGTCATCAGGGACAAACAAACCGGAGATTCCTTGCAGTACGCATTTATAGAATTTTCTGATCGAAAAAGTTGTGAAGATGCGTATTTTAAGATGGATAACGTACTGATCGATGACCGCCGAATTCACGTTGACTTCTCACAGTCCGTGGCTAAAATGCGATGGCGCGGAAAAGGCAAAGGTATCATTTATTATGATGATAATGGTAAAATAAATAAAGATGAAATGCCAAATGATAGAAGAAACAAGAAAGTTAGGCAGCGTAGCAGATCGCGAAGCCCAAGAAAAGATCGGTATGAAAATAGAAAAGATCGAGATGAAAATAGAGGAAGGTATGATTCGAAAAAAGACTATAAACGACGTCAAGAATCTTATAGAAATGAGGATGATAGAAGACGTGGAGTTAGGGAAGAAAAACAGAGTAAGAAAAGACTAGATAGGAGTAGAAGCAAAGAAAAGAGAGAAAAGAGTAGGGAAAGAGTTAGGGAAAGACGAGAAATAAAAGACATTTGTAAAGACAGAAGAGACAAAAGTAAAGATAAGAAAGATAGAAAACGCGATTCGCGAAACTCGAGAGATGAAAAGCACAAAAAAAAACTTAGAGATAGCTCGTCTTCTTCGGAGGAAGAGCGAAATGATAGACATTCAGGAAAACGTCGAAAGTCGAAAGAGAGATCAGAGGAAAAATACAGTAGTAAACGACGACACAAGCATAGAAGCTAATAGATTTTTTATATAAT